GATGTTAATTCTTCTTATCCATGAACACAGTAGGTGCTTCCATTAATTTGTACCTTCTTCAATTTCTTTCTTCAGTGTCTTATAGTTTCTCACGTACATGTCTTTTACATCCTTGATTAGGTTTATTCCTAGGTATTTTATTCTTTTGGAAGCAATTATGAATGGGATTGTTTTCTTAATTTCCCTTTCTGCTCATTAGTGGCATATAAAATGCAACTGACTTCTGGATATTAATATTGTATCCTGCTACATTGCTGAGTTCATTTATCAGTTTTAGTAGTTTCTTGGTGGAATCTTTGGGGTTCTCTCTATATAAGCATTTTCATCAAGATTTTAAAATGGATACCCTAACTAGTTGCTTACTTTTGACCAATTTAGATAACTGTTTATTCACAATAAAAATGTATCAAACACCTACTATATTCTGATCTTTGGGAAATAAGGTTTATGAGATGAAAGCATAATTTGGGCTTTCAAGGAATTTAGGATTTTCCAAGGGAGTGTTATCTGCAGTTCTGGAACAATCCCATGTGGTGATGGGAGTGGCTGCAGCCAAGAGACGGATCAGCTGAGTCTCAAGGATCAGAGGAACATTCCTAGGAGGCGCCTTCCAGGCTGCGGGGAAATTGCTCATTTATTCAGGGAACTGGGAGTAACTGGGTGTGGCTGGAGTGTGAGGTGTGGCAGGAGGAGAGGCTGATCCCTTGAGCAGAACAGGTTTTACCCAGGGCCAGGTCCTGGGCACAGTCAGAGCTTCTCCAGATTTGTCCCAGTCCTGCCCCCTGTCCTTGCCCTTTCTCAGAATGACTTTTAAGAGTGGGAATTGTAGGCAGAGTCTCTACACAGGCTGTCTTTGCACATTAAGTAGCCAGAATGTCTAACTTCAGTTCCTACTTTTAACCATCCATGTCTTAAGACCTCACCCCGAACCTCTTCTTATTCACAGACTTCTGCCCCCCGTGTGAGGGGGCTGCCAAAATGAGCCCTGGCGCACCATCTCAAAGATGCCAGCACAGGGGCCCAAGCACCTGCAGTAGGCAGGCACGGAGGGTGAAGGACATGGAGATGAGGATGATATTCTATTTCCACCTAACTCACAGAGCGATGAAAGGACAGGCAGGGCTCCCTTCCCAGGCTGTAGCCTTGGACGCAGAGGAAAGCTCTTGGATATGACAAAGTCACTGTCACGGAGCCCTTCCCTGTCCAAGCATAAGAGCTCATCTAACCACTCAGCCCTGGGAGGTGGGTGTGGGCCACCAGCCTGGCTCCAGAGTCCACCTTCCTCCCTCCAAACTCAGAACCCTGCCAGCTGGAGGGAGCCCAGCACGCTTATTCTGGCGGAAGGTGGGCTCACACCGGGCCTCAGTACACGGATAGGTCTTCAGCAGGCAGAGATGTGAGTGAAGGGCATTAAGTAAGTGAACACACAAAAATAGCACATCCCAGGCGGCAGCAAAGGAGAGTGCCCCACAGAGAAGAGGGCATTGCCAGAGGGTAGACCAAAAGTCCAACTCCAAGGCCAAGCCCTGGGCATCAGGAGGAGTCAAAAGTGAAAAAATATAGAAACTATCAAAATTCCCAGAATCCACAAATTATTCTGGGTTTGAAAACCTTATAAGGGGTCTGGAGGGACCTCTTCAACGAGAACCTCAACCTCATGGAGTGCTTGTTGCCTCTCAAGAAGCCTCATAGTCCAGGAAAAGGGAACAGGAAGAGGACTCAGAATCATGGTTCCTGTACTAATTTGCTAGGGCTGCTGTAACAGAGTAAGTGACTTAAACAACATTGCTCTCCCAGTTCTGGAGACTGGAAGGCTGGGGTCAAGGTGTTGGCCTGATTGGTTCATTCTGAGGGCTGTGAGGGAGAGTCTGTTCTCCTCTGGTTTTCTGGTGATCTTCGAGAGTCCTTGGTTTGTGGACACATCACCCCAATCTCCACCTTGATGTTCACATAGAGTTTTCCGTGTGTGGACGACTTTGTGTCTAAATTTCCCCTTTTTATAAGGACACAGCCATATTGGATTAGGGCCCATCCTAATAACCTCGTCTTTATTTGATCACCTGCAAAGACCTGAATGTAAGGTTATATTCACAGGTATTGGGCCGGGGCACAATTCAACCAGAACAGTCCCCAAATGTGCTGTGCAGATTGCCAGTCCCCCATTCCCCCTCTCCCCCCATTCATGTCACATCGACACACAGATGGGATTGAAGATGCTGTTCAGGATCCTTGCGGATCCCACCCTCTGTCCGCCGCAGAGGCAACCACCTGTGTGTGCTCAGTCAGAGTGCCTGAGAAGCAAGGGCCTCTGTGTCAAGAGATGCAGGGGCAGCCAGGGCAAATGCCCTGCGTTCTGGCAGACACTCTGCTCCCCACAGGCACGCACTCTCACAGCATGTGTTCCAGACAACTGGAGAGGCAACTCCAAATCCACTGTCACTCAAAACATCTACAGGAGTGGGCAAAGTAGGTTTACAGTTGTTGGTATGGAAGAAGACATGCAACTTACGATTATTGCAGTAGCTTATTAACTCTATTTCACGTACTCACAACTGTCACCTGCTGTGCTCACTTCATGTGTGTGTGCATAGGGTGGTTAGCTGCAGTTGAAATAGTACTATTAAGACATTTTCCAAAATTTGTAATAGATATTTTAAAAGATTAGTGATATATTAGTGAAGGAAAGCACAGTATGAAGTTTTACAGATGGTTTCATTCAAACACACATACATTTTTAAAAGCTTTATTGAGACAATTCACAAATCATACAATCTACCCATTTGAAGTCTGCAGTTTACTGATCTTCACTGCATTCACGACGTTGCACGACCATCACCACAGTCGGCTGTAGAACTTTTCATCGCCCCAGAAAGAAGCCCAGCACCCCTCAGTCGTCATCCTCCGGGCCCGTCCCTCCCTGTCCCCAGCCCTAGCTGGAGAGCCACCACGCTGTCTTCAGGCTCCATGGTTTCCCTACATGCCTACATTTGGTTCAACTGTGTATTTCCTAAATTAGAAAAAAAAAAAATGAAGGGAACTACAGGTCCGAGGGTGACCTTCACCAGTGCTTATCAGAATTATAATTTTAATCCCTTTATTTGTAGTATTTTTCTAATTATACAGTGAGCATGAATTGCTAATCAGAGGGGGAAACATTTTATTTTAAAAATAAAGACAACTATCTTGTCATATTTAAGTAGTCCCTACGGATTATTCTGAAAACCTCTTCAACACCTAAATCACAACCTTATTTTATGGAGGGGAAAAGGTGTCCGAGCTCCAAACAACCGACTTTAAATAACAGCCGTGGAGCGCAGTTGTTAGACGTGAGACGCTGGCATTGCGCTGGTTTGCTCTGCGCTGGATTTCCTACAGCCCAGCCCCCTCCAGCCTTGTGTCCCGCCCCTCAGGGTCTTCCCATCCTTAATCAGGTGACCTCTCTCAGCCTTCAACAAATTGTTGCTTGTCTCAGGTGAGAGGCCCTGTAATTAAACCACATCCTTTTGCCTCTTTAATAACATTGGAGACAGAGTATAATTCTGAGAGGGGACGGAAGGAATATATAATTTAGTGTCCTTTTCCTGAGCCAGTATGGACTCTGTGCATGTAGCATCTTGCATTCTTCGGGTGTAAAAAGTGATCTGTTGTCTCAGCAAATGTGTTATGTGAGCACCATGCATACTGAGTCCGTCTAACAGTCAGAGCCTCTGTGGGTCTGTGTCTGGTGTACTCGGGGGTTCCAGAAGCCACCTTTCTTTGATGAGTAGACTTGACACTGGAGGGAAACGAGCTTAGCTAGGTTAGTTCATGAGACAGATCGGTCCTGGCCACTGCCACAGAAACTTATCTGTTGCCCTAGCTAGAAACCCAGGCTTCATCCTTGACTCCCCTCGTTCCTCTGGGCCTCGCACCAACTCAGCTGGGCTATAGTCTCTCTGATTGCCCTGCTCTTCTCAATCCCACCCCTGCACAGCACTCACCGGGGTAGGGGCAGCTTCTGCTCGACAGCCTCCTTCTTGCCCCCTCCGTCCTTATGCTCTGGCATGACTAATGAAGTTCATCCTCCGCATGCCCCGACGGCACTTCGTGATCTCATCCCCTCCTTTGTGCAGTCTCACCACCCTCCAATGCTCCCCATGTTTCCAAGTTCCTACCCTCTGAGACCCCCATATTCCCTGGTAGGTTACAGCCCCATTCATGGATTCTTTATCTGAGTTCTATGGACAGGATACTAGCGGATGTGTGAGAGTCCTAACATAGAATGGATAACTGTGGGGTGTGTGTGTGTGTGTACAGGGGTGTATTGCTGGGAGGACAGTTCTTGGCTTTCGTAAAATTCTTCTGGATGACCTGTGAATCCCCAGCTTTAAGAGCTGTGTTCTGGGTGTTTGCATGTGTTCTTCCCGTTCACGTAGTTTCTCACCTCTCCACCCTGGTGGGCAGCTCCTGAGGACTGCTCAAACATCACCTACTTTCCTGCCTGATGTCCCTTCTCTGCATCCCCATGGCTCTGTTTACGTAGTGCTTTCCCAGCTGCGGTTTCATCACTTCTTCGCATACCTACTGCCCCTCCTGGCGCACATGCTCCTGGGGCTGGGAACTGACCCTTTCTGCCCCACTTCCCGCACAGTGCCCAGCACACAGTCAGCTCTTAGTAAATACTGGCAGAAGAGGAAAGAGACCAGGAAGGTGCTGGACTGTTTTCTCTACGGAATGCCCACGCTCGTTGGGTGATGGGACACAGCATAGCCAATGGCTTCATCTCAAAGTGCTGCCCCTGGCTTACACACCGTTAGGCGCTGGGCCCTCATGGGTCATCTCCCTTTGTCTGTTCGCAGACATTTTCTTGGAGAGGTTGAAGGCCCAGCTGTCTGGCAGTTACATGGAGAAGTCAGACTTCCATTTGTTGTGGGAACTTACTAGATGTGTAATGATTTTTAAATTACCTCTTGACAAATTTTGAGCTCTTTGTTTTTTTTTTTTCTTCCATTCCCTTTCAGATTGATGCACTGAGTAAAAGAAGCAAAGAAGCTGAGGCAGCCTTCTTGAACGTCTACAAAAGATTGATTGATGTTCCAGGTAAGCCCATGCCCTATTCCGTAACCCATCACCAGGCATTGTGTCTGGAGAGTGGTTTGGCTTCAGCCTTTTCTAAGAGAATTCCACCATCAATGGCAACTTCCCCATGAAATCGAAGAGTTCTGGGAAGGTGATTTCTCCAACACCCAGCATTTGGGTAGATATGGAAACTAGACGCACTTTTGTTAAAATCATCACATAACCTCTAGTTAATGCTTTTGCAGATACAGAAACTCAAATCTGTGGGGCTGCCTCTAGTATTGGTATAAAATGCTGCCCATTTCACTGGAAGAAATAGAACCTGTGTGTGTGCTCTGCAGACAGCGCGGATGTTCATGGTTCTGGGCTGACTGATTCCACTCTCAGGAACAGCCCTTATATAGGGTACCTAGAATGCCTCACTCCCCTCCCAGTCATCCAGGGAACCAGTGACCTCTGGCCAAGTCTTTCCCTTAAAGTTTATAGCCAAGGGCAAGTGGTAGCCCAGTTAGCTACAACCAAGTATGTGGATTACTGACATTACTAGAACTACTGTAACAAAGCAAAGCAGAAACAGGTCTGAACTTGCATTCTAATTTAGGTCAACTGTGGGCCTTGCAGTCCCCTCTGGGAGCTGGGGTTAATAGAGGTCACCCCAAGCAACAGACAGCAGAATGCACTTCGGACAAGGAGTAGGGAGATTCAGGTTCTCTTGCCAGGGCCTTGTTGTATGGTTTTCATCATATTCTTTTTCCTTTCTAAACCTCAATTTTCTTGTCTTTGAAATGGAAGAGTGTAGGAGTATAGCCTAGTGATGAAGAATGGTTTTCTTTGTACTCAACTTATGCTGTTGTAGGAGCTTACCTAGCACTTGGTTCCAAATTCTGGCCTTTTGACTTCCTGCAAGAGTTTGTAACCAACTAGGGGTCCCCTGAAGACTGACCGAGGCTTGGGGGAAGGCTTCTTCACAGTTAGGGGCTCATTTGATGCCCAGGGTGCAGTCTTTCTCCAGTCCTGGCACCTTGGTGGCCCCGCTGGCGTGATCTTGTGCAAATGCAGGTTTTGTGTTGGGGACTTAGTTGAAAGGGGGGCTGGCTTACTTCATCTGTGCCAAAGACCTAGAGAGCCTTCGGCTGCTGTTTTCTAAATAGCCTACACTCTCCTTCTTAAAAGTCCAGTTTTTATCTAGGTTTTCCCTTAGTGAATTTCTCAGCTGGGCAGCCACTTTAACAAATTGTTGGGTTTCTTTTTCTGCAATTATTTTCCATCCTAATTTACCATAGAAAAAGACGAGACCATTTTTTTCCATCACCACTCTTCTTCTCCTAAGCAGACTTTATTCATGCGCGTATATAAGTTTTATAGAATTTTTTATCATAATATGAGCACATATTTACATTCTGCTTTTTTCACTTAACATCACACCATTCGCATTTTTCCCCATATTGGTGATATTCTCTGTACTTACCATTTTTGCCTGGAGAAGTAAAGTTTGCACTCTCAATGTAAGATAGTGGGAGCAAATAACATTTGATGTTTTCTGTAATAATAAAAATCAGTCAGAACCCATCTGCATGCCACATAGATCACTTGTACCCACATCCCGGGTACTTCTTTCTCACAAAGGCTGTGGTCTGGCTGGTCTAACAAGTTCCTTGCAGAGCTCGGCGCACTCTCCCTGCTTTTCGAAGCCTTACTGCTCAGATGAAGTAATGCTGCGGCTGAGGTTTACAGGAAGGGCCTGGTCAATAGCGTTGCATTTACTGACAGTCACACCGTTGTGGGGAGTCAGGTGCCTTAACTGTCTACGTGCCTCTGGCCTCGGGCCCACCAAACCCAAAAACAATGATGGGGGTGCACTAGGTCTTCTAGTTCAAGAAACATCAACTCACGCTGTCTCAGAAAACTGTAGGAAGCTCTTAGGAATAACGGGACCAGTATTTCAGCTCTGTGCCATGTGGCCCGGCTCCAGGAGCCCAGGAGAGCCAACCAGCTGCCCCAGGAAGAGCCAGAGCCAGAGTCCCATTGGCCTTGGAGACTGGCAAGGGAGCCTGACTGAACTAGTCCCCACTTGCCACCCTTCCAGAAATTTTTTTGTCTATTATCTGCTGGCCCCACTAGAACGAAAGCTTCTTGGGGGCAGCTGGGTTTATCACTCTACACCCAGCACCAGGAACAGGGCCTGGCATACTGCAGTTGTGACACGTTGGCGTCACACAGCCCAGTGAGTCCATCGACCTAGAGCTACCCTGGAGCCCTCCACAGCAGAATTCACGAAAGGTCATGTTAGTAGCTCTGAAAGCTTTATCTCTGTCCAGGGCTCACTTTTGAGCGTCAGCTTTCATATCCAGTGACCTCCTGGACATCCCCCCTGGGGTGGCTGACAGGCACCCTGAAACCACCCAGTGTGTCCAGAGGAAACCATCTTCTTCCAGAGTTCTTCTCTTAGGGAGCAACACCACCTTCTGCCCAGCTGCTCACACCGAGCCACCTACCTTCAGAATAGTCTCGATTCTATCCACTTCTCTGTGTCCCAACTTCTGCCCTCCACAGTTCAGACCCCCCTCTCGCGTCTGCAGTGTTGTGACTTGAGGCTTCCTACTCGCCTCCTTCCAGCCCACGTTCCTCACCGCCAGCGGGCCAGGCCCCTTCTCAATGCATCCCATCTCACCTCTGTAGGCCAGCTTGTTCCGATGCGGCTTCCTGACCTCCCAGGTTCAGTCAGGTTGCCCTGTCACGCGCTCGCTCCCCTCCCAGGAGCCTGTGTTTCCCTCTGTCACTTCTTGGGATTCAGCTGCTTTCCTGTCTGGCTGGGCAGAGTGACTGGGGCAACGTGGTCTTGCCCCTGCGCATTTCTTGAGTGTCTATCCCAGTGCTTGCCACGTAGGAGAAACTCCATAAATATTTGCCAGATGAATTAATGGATCAAGTTATTTCTTCACATGCTTTCTGACGTTTTTGGGGGCTCAGGCTTTAATTGTTCACAGTGAACTATACTCCAGAGATTGACACTTTCCACTGAGGGAGAGCACACTGGAGCATTCTATCAACTGAAATAGCAAGGGAACAGAATGTATCTTTCATTGAGTCGCAGCCATTTAATAGCTCTCTGAACAAATTTTGCTCGGTGTCACCCTATAAAGATTTACCTGCCTGCGCAGACATTTATATGACACTTAGCATTTGGGGTTCATCAGAACAACATATGTGCCTCAGAGCCTTCAGTTTTGTGGCTGGTACTGACGTCCAAAATCTGTGTTTGATTTAGCAGCTGCCCTGCTGGCTTCCCAAGCTTTTAAACCCAGCACCACGCAGAGACCCCCTCCACCCCACCACACTCCCCTGCTGCCCTGCTCGCCTTCCGTGGTGTGACTCAGCTGTGCATGGGAGAAGCATCAGAGTTACCCAGCTCTTCCCCCTTCTTCATCTCCCAAACCCAGTATCCCAAACAATGTTATTTTTCCTTTTAAAAGCTCCATCTTATTAAAGACACTGAATAAACATTTACATACATACTCATCCTGGTAAGTCCTCTGAACAGTCAAAATAGTTAAGATCTCACATGTATGTTCTTTTTCATTTGCTACCCGATTGCTCCGCATTCCTCAGTTAATTTTAGGGCATTTTAAGATGCTTTTTATCATAGATATTCTGCCTCTATAGCCAAAGCACACTGTCCTTCCACGCTGCTGTGACCCTTCCCCCCTGGGATGTCTCAGTCAGCACCTTGCACGCCGCCCCTCGCTCTGTCTCAGGGACCGTGCCGAGCTGCAGGATAAGGCAGGGAGCAGATCAGCCAGAGAACTTGCTGTTCTCATGGACTTCAGAGCCTGGTGGGAATGTGGGCATTAAAAAGTAATTGCACAAGTAATTATTGAATTTTAGGTGTAGTAAGTGCTTGTAAGGCAGAGCCCACTGGGCATAGGAGTGTAGAATGGGTAGGATTGGGCAGGCTCAGAGGCAGATGCCCTGGGGCAGTGAGCTTAGTGAGCAGGAAGAGGAGAGGGCAGTGAGGAGAGTGGCCTGGTACACTGCATCTTCCAAAGCAAGGCACTGCCAGTAGTCAAGGGGGCACTGTTAATAGGACACCTGAGTAGAGGGCATATGCCAGTGTGGCCACCTAGCTGCAAAGACAGGTGGGGGCCTGGTAGAGTATGTGCAAGATCCTGGACTTCAACAGACAAACCATGAATGAGTTTTAAGCAGAGAAGTAACACGATCAGGTATGTGTAATGAAAAAGTCATCCTGGCTGCAGTTTGGAAGGTAGATTTGGAAAGGGATCCAAGGTGAGGTGGGAAGGGAGAGGGGGTCACATGGTTCGAATGGCAGGCGTGGAGCCGGAAAGGAATCTCGGCTGTATGCGGAGTGGAGAGGTAGAGCAGGTGGTCGGGAGGCAATGAGGGCAGCTGTGCCAGAGCTCGGTTAACATGGCGTCACTCCTTCATTTCTGGGTAGCAGTTCTTATTCACCAGGCTTGCTTGTTTACATGGCTTACGTAATTGAAAGGAAGACCAACAAACAGTTTGGAGAATTAGCCTCTTGATCCTAGTTGTTATCTCTAATTGTTGTTCTAATTGAAAATGTTCTTCGCCTTCGTTGTCAACATGATAGCAGTTGGAGAGTAGTTTTAGATTCATAAGTAAGTTACAAAATTTGATGTCATTAACCTAGATGTCAGTTTTATCACAGACAGATTTTTATATTGTAATGTATATGATCAATAGGGATAGCTTAAACTCGCAAATGTTTAAGTTTTTTATGTTAATGCACCTCTGATTGAGATTTGTATTTACAAATTCGCTAACAGTCAGCCGTGAGGAAAGCAGTGCAGCCGTCTGCCAACAACACGACTTGGTGGGGGTGCCGGGGCCAGGCCCCGCGACGGGAGTTCCTCTAGTAAGCAGGCCAGTGTCCGTCTGCACTGGCATCTATACTCATGGGTAAGAGCAAGAGTTCAGGGATTATCTGTGAACAACAGTGATGCCAGGTATGCAAGAAAAGGTTCAGGTGTGTTGTTGAG